TGAAGTCACCTCCAAATTGGGACAGTAAGTTACAGGTTTTTATTGAGTGAGCTGCCGTCAGTGGGCTCCTCCTACTCAACTTATCATAACTCCCAAATTTGGGCTCGGATCTTACTCAACAGAAATTACCTTTGTTGAGCATTTTGGGGAGACTTCTTCCATATCACTGTAAATACCCTTTTCTTAGCAATTTGGTTAAAAGGCCTTAGGCTTTGATGTCTCGGAATTCAGGATATTTGCTTTCTTTGTAAAAAACTTCTAAAGATACAATTTAAATTAAGGCTTTAAGTGAAGTCAAGACATCTTGCACGTAGCCTCAAAACAATGAGCTAGATAAGGAGATAAATCCTATCTTCTTCCTGAAACTGGCTAATGGACAACCTTTACAAACATTCAAACTATTTCATTCAATATGACAGGGCCCTGGGATGTGGATACACCCCTCTCGCAATGGAGGTTGGAGGCGGCAGACCCTCCGATCCTGTGTGGGCTCCCCTGCAGGGCCTGCTTCTCCAGCAACTCACGCTTCCTCTCTGAAGCAGCCAAGACTCATCCCCTGGAGGCCGATCCCACGACAGCCTCTCCCAGCAGCGCCTTCGGCTCTCCTCGTTGGCCTGGTGCCCTGCAGTGGGCAGCCCAGGGCTCTCTCGCAGAAGCTGAACCCTTACAGGCTCTGGTTCCAGGGTCCTCCTTTTCCTGGGCCCTGCTCTGGGCACCGGGGCTCTTTTAGTTAAAGGCAGAGCTCCGGTCACTCGGCCTAGGGCCAGGGCTAACTTTAGAGCCACAAGCTGCTCTCAGGCTGGTCCTTCGTGCGCCAACCCATGCACTGGGTGAGGCCCGAGCAGCCTCAAGCTGCTCCCAGGATCAGCTCTTCGTGTGCCGATCTGCACATTGTGTGGGCCTGAGCAGCCTCAAGCTGCTCCCAGGGACAGCTCTCTGTGTGCCAATCTGCACACCGACTGCTCAGCTGCTTGCCAGGTTTGCAGACTCAAGCCGCCTTGAGTGGCTCCTAGAGCCTGATCCCCGTGCGCCAATTCGCTCAATGCTGAAGCTCAAGCAGGGTCCCAAGGATGGCTGTCTCAAACTCCTCTTTTCTCACTGACCCTCATCGTCTCTCCCCAGCGTGGTGAGCATGCTCCCCTTTATATTCTTCAGGGGTCCACCCCCTCAAAGTTCTCCGGACCTGGCTGGAGCACTTCCAATTCAGGTCCAGCTGCTCCTTGCCCCCTCCCTTTGGAAAAGGGCGGGGCATTGCTTCCCTTGTGCTGCCTCCGGATTGGTGGGTGGGCTCCACCAAACAAACAGCAGACCCTCTATCCTGGGAGCAACCCAAGCTCTGAAAAGGTAAGCCTGCTAGCTACACACCACTGCCAAGATTCACGCTCTGAGCCTCTCAGTGCAGGAGTCATCACACACCAGCCCTCCAGGGAGAGAATCATGCTCCCATTTTCCATGTGCAGAACAGGACACAGCAATGCCTGAATGCCATGATATGCCCAGGATTTTCACAGAAGGAGTCCTGTGCTTTTTGTGCCAGAACTCAAAATCCTGGTCTCAGAGTGCAACTGGATCCCCAGACAAAGGCAGTTTTATGGGGCTTGAGAAAGGAAAGCTGAGGTTTGGGTATTGTCAGCTACTCCTGACTGTGTAGGCAGAGACTATAGCAAATGTCTCTCTTTTAAATTTAGTGCAATACTTGCCTCACCCCACTGGCAACCCAGGGCTATTGTTTCGGCTTTAGACTAAAGGATATCCATATACTCAGTACTAACAAGTTGTCTATTTATGGAACATGAGACAGAGATGGCGGGAACACAGCAACCAGGAGCCACTTGAAATCCATAATTTAACATCTTATGTTTCAGAGCATTCATTCTTCTGCTCTGGGCATGGAAATGTGAGGCTGACAGAAAGTGGAGGAGGTTTCCATTGCCTTGGCTTTATGGGTTTCCTTTTGGCACACAGGACTTCTGATTTCTGGGGGCTCCTTCAGCATGAGATACACAGGGATCTCTGTGCTGTGGTTTCCCCTGACGGGCTCCCTAACTATGCACAAAAAACAATCTGTTCACCCCCTCTGCAATCTTGTGACTTTGGAATTGCAGGAAAGCATGATGGAGGGTGAATCCATCAGGCATGCAACAGCAGTATACATTTATATGTGCAAAGGCTGGAACTATATGTGCAAACACCAGTGTGTGCCCAGAACAACCTGCTTTGTGTGTGCAAGTTGGCTGCACTAGGAAACCTCTGCAGGTAGAGATAAAGAGGGTACCAACAAGATGGCTTTGACAATGCAAGCTCTCCTCAGAGGTCCTCAGGGCTTCATGTCACTGTGTGTTCCTGAGTGGGCAGATGATGCCAGCTGTGATAGCCAGGGGAGGACTGACCCAATTTAGGCTCTGAGATGAAGACCTGACAGATACAGGGGCTATTTCAGGTTCAGGGTAAAGCTGGAGTACACGGCTCTGTGGTGAGTGGCACAGCAGAACTGGGTACACTGCTCTGAGGTCTGCTGTTTAGGAGTAAAAGTGGAGCTGCACCCCAGGTCTCTCTACTTCTTCCACAGATAAAACAGGAAGGGTCATGTTCATGCTTCACTGGTCCCTGAACCCTTCAGAAAGACAACTGATTGACTGTGGGAAAAGTTTTAAGTCAAATATTTTCTACCTGGTTGAACATGTCTCCTCACACATGCAGTCTGAGCTCAGAACTGTCTCCTCGTGATCCCACCCTTCCTCCTTCTGGGGGGTCTAGTCACATGCTGCCTTTCATTGACCAGGGACCACCGACACTCCTCTGGCAGGGGGCAAGCCTATAATCTACCTCCTCCCCCCGTCTCAACTGCCACCTCCTTGCATTCAATCACGATGTATAGTTAGCGTGATACATTGAGACAGTGCTGGGAGGCCACAGGGGATTCCAACCAGGAGGATGCAAATCAGGAGCAAGGAAAGGGAGCGTCTGATACTTGACAAACAGAAGCAGAAGCTTAAGGCAAAGCCCTTGCTCCAGAGCTGGGTTATCCTGGTACCTCTTAGAAATGGTTTAAGACTTTATATGGCTCAGAGTCTCTAACACAAGCAGGTTTGGGTCCCTGAATATCTAGGGCAGGGTGGAGAGAGGTGGTTAGATGCCCGGGTGGGGGTTCATATGATTGCAATTGGAGTCCTCTTCTGATCTGTTCCTGGGTTACATGGGGCACCTGTGTTCTAGGACAGAACACTCACAGTGAATGTGATAGCATGTCCCCTTCCCTCAGGGAGATTAATCCCAGTGAAAGAGTTGGGGATTTTTTTTCCCCTGGAAGAGAAGAGGATTTGAGGAAGATACAATAGAGGGATCTAAGATTATGAAGGGCACAATGGAAAGTGATCCATGGTTTTCTGACACCTCTGGCATACTGCCATTACATGATAGGAAGCCAAGGGGTTAGTTGATAAAACTAAAGGCAAGCAAATTTGGAGACAAGGTATTTGTCAGTCAAATCAGGTCAGGTCAAATCAAATACTGTGGCTTGGATGTTAATAAATGCCTAAATGCCAATGGGCACCAGTAACATCTGTGGCCATGTGGGCCACAGCTACACAGGTGGTAGAAAGGTCCTAGCTAGCTCTGTTGAGATGCATTTTGAGCAGCCCCCTGAATTCAAGGTCAGCAATTGTGCCCTGTTGTATGAATGGACTACAAATAAGGGTAGGAGAAGAGCCATGAATGTCTTCCCTTCTCTATACTCTCCACATGCAGCTTTATTCTGGACTAGTGTCCCTGTGGGCTGATGGTGAATCCAGCCTGTTATGAGTACAGCTGAGAAACGCTTTTCTCATTCTGCAGGAATTTGATGTATTCAACATTATTTCCTGTCCTGAATCAGGACATCGATCAGAAATCTAAAACAGTTCTTGTAAACCAGAAAAACCGAGGAGATGAGACTGAAAGCTGATTCTATGCAAACTGCATCATGGCTACTGGTTCTGGCACTGGGAGCATGACTAACACACAGGCCCTTGCCATGCTAACCAGAGCACCCTTGAGAGCAATCAAGCAATGCGCGGGGACTCTTTATAATGGGCTAGCCTTGGGCACTAGGAATTCCAACCTCCCTCCTTACATATACAAAATACCTGCTTAGTCAAGCATAACCCAGACATCTTATTGTCAACAGCGGTTGTGGAGGGGCAGTGTCTCCACTGCCTCTCACTGTAGACACCAAAACACAGTATCATACACATCCTCAGGAATGCATGGGTTTGGAAGGGACTGCAAGGGTCCCCTGCACATATGGAGGATTTGCTGTTCCCAGACCATCCCCAACTGATGCCTCTCTACTTCCTTCTCAAAAACCTCCAATGAAGAAGGTCCAACTTCTGATTTGCTGTAGTTTAACCACAGAAGGTTTCTTTAAGGCAGAGGGTTTCTTGGTGAATAGGACTATAGAGTGGAGCAGAGGAAAATAATGAAAAGGAATGAACTCTGGGCAAGTTGGTAGCAGCAGCATCTTATAAACTATCCCCATTACCGCACGGGATGTCTAAGCACTGCTATTGCACTTTAGAACTCCTCCTTGTTGGGTAGTCACTGGATATGGGCATGTGCCCTTTTGTCCGATGGACATTCACTGGCCCGTTCAGGGGTGCACACAACCTTTGGTCGGTCTAAGTTGGTGTTCTTACGCTTTCTCTCTTCCCGCCTGCCACGACTTTGATCTGTCTTTTAATTATTGGAGATGTTAATGAAAGGGAGGTGGTAACTACCCGCCCCCACTGAGACCGACTGCCAGTTCCTGCCCCAGTTCCCGAGGCCACAAACAGGGAAAGTAGCTGAATAACTAGACTGGAGAGGTTCCTTCCTTTCCTTTCCTTTTATTTTTAGCATTAAGACACTTGGAAGATCTTGACTCCCCGGGAAGCAGGTCCTGTTGGTCCCTTGGGTTGTTACCAGGCTTTTACCCTCCGGGCCGATTGGGACCACGCTGTGCTTGATTGGTGGCACGCAGCTGCTTAACGAGCCAAAAAAAAACTTTAACGAAATTGTAAAAGTCAACTGTGAGAGGACACTGCTTTCACTCTCCTCTTTCTTCAGCCAACCCTGGCTTCCTTTTTCCCTCGGGTCTGGGCTCCAGGGCCCTTGGAGAGGCTGGATTTCATTGCCTTTCTCCCGGGTCTCTCACCCTTTGGTTAACAATCTTCTTTCCTGTGGCTGCTGCGCTGGGAATACTTGGCAGCCAGCGGCTCTTGATTTCTGTTCTAAACAAACAAAACAACTGGCATCCCTGGCTCTAGAGTATCCATCCTCCTTGGCTTCCTTTCCTTTCTTTTCTCTTCCCTTTTCTTCCCTGACTTTAATGGGGTTCTTCTGCACCCCAGAGCCCGATCAGGCGCTTACCCAGCTCCCAGGTGTCAGTCTACCATCAGGTGCTCCCAGCCTCCATCCTCCTGGGGGTTCCTCCTTCTTTGCCTCTGCTCCCTAGCTCTGCCTCCAGCCCCAGGATATTGCCCCGGCTGCGGATTTGCCCCAATCCACCTCACCTGCTGAGGTGATAAGACTGGGCTAGGGCAGCGCGGAGGTCCTGTTCGGGTTGGGTTGGTGCTCCTGGCCGGGGAGGCATTCCCAGTGAGTACCCCATAGCTCCTCACACTCCTGGCCTGGAGATGCTAGGGCTGTGCGAAATTTTGCCAGCCGTTTCGTTTCGACACTGTTTCAACTCATTTCGAGGTCGAAACAGCAAAATCAAAATGAAACAAAGGGCTTCGAAACAGCCTTCAAAAAAACCGGGGCTAATCAAAACGTTTCGAACATCAAAATGTTTCAACCATAGCGCTGCAGGTGGGAAGTCAGTCCAGCTGGGCTGACTTCCCATCCCCCATGATAGATCGGGCTGGGGGCAGGGAGTCAGTCCAGCCCGATCTAGTGTGGGGGATAGGAAGCCAGCTCAGCACAATGGAATCAAAAGGCCCATCGCCTATGTAAGTTGAATACCACTGGAAGGAGGTATGCTACCATCGAAAGAGAATGTTTGGTTATTAAACGGGCCATAGAGTACTTTAGGTACTATCTTATGGACTGAGAGTTCCACTTAATAAGAGATCATGCCCCTCTTCAATGGTTCTGTAAAGCGAAAATGGATAACACTTAAATTACTAGGTGGGCATTAGCATTGCAGCCATTCAAATTTTCCATCAGCCTGGTCCTGCTAATAAGGTTGCAGATTTCTTATCTAGGTGCACAGATCCAGATACCCAACAGGAGGAGGTACACCCAGAAGAAGGGAAGAATAAAGAAAGAAATAACATTTGTAAAGAATGGTAATTTTGCAACTTTACAGAGTGTGGTAGGTAGCCCTTCCTTAACCCTTCAATATTTTAAACCTTCCTATTTCTGATCATTCCCATCCCAGCCCACTTTGCCCACCACCACGGTGTTCAGCACTGCCCAATACAGAGGCATCAGCAGAATGTTAATTTTCTAATTTTCGGGAGTTTGGTACCTACCTACCTGCCCTTTAACCCTTCAATATTTCCAACCGTCCTATTTCTTATAATTCACATTCCCATTCCAGAACCACAGAGATTAGTCAAGATGAATGCTGCCTGCCAGACCATCCCCCCAAACTATGAAGCGTCCCTGGTGATATAGAGGTAATGAATGTCCCAATGACCTGGGGGGAGGAGGGGAGAGGGTCTGCAGGCAGGCAGTGGTGTTTTGACTTTTGTTAGTTAAAAACCCCATTCTTTTTTTTTTCCTTCCCTTCCCTGAAGAACACTATGGACATCGGAGATTGAACATTTTCAATATTGACAGTAAAGAAGCCTAAAGTATATAAAAATTCCAAAGTTTGAAATTGTGTCAGTTGTTTTTTCTTTCACAGATTGCATTTCGGGGGTGGGTGGGGTCAGTTGGGAAAAGTGCTGACCACACCTGTAGCAGAAAGCCCCCTTTTTCTCTTGCCTGCATTTGCTCTCCCCTCTTTGGATATGTTTCTCTTTTTCTACCTTTTCTTCCTTCCTCTCTCTTTCACTTTAAGATAAGGAATTGTGTTTTAAAATTTGTGTGTGCGCATTTTGTATCTCCCCTTGTATTTTGGTATTTTTATCTATTTGTGTGCCATGGCATTTGTAGCTTATATTTTATACTCCTCACCTTTCAACTTTCAACTGAATGTGTTTAATTTCATAAGTAAATTATACATTGTAACAATGTTAACAGGGGCAGGAATCAAATTGCCCTTCCCTGTATCAGTCAGTCAGTCAATCCAAACATCATCCCTTCCCCAATCAATCAATGAAGCAGGAGCAAGTACAAATCAGCATTTTCTCTTTATTTTTTCACAATAAATTGAAATGCTATCTATTTCGATTGGGAAATCACAATACAGCTGAAGCAGCACAGACATTATTGTTTTAATAAACAATGCCTTTGGTTGTCAAGTGGTGAATAATAATAATAATAATAATAATGATTGCAATGGGGCAACAGGTATCAAATGTATAAATGTAACCAGTGACTTATTTACAAAACCTACATGGAAAGAAAAGTAACATCCTCAATAGTTGGGGTGTGTGTGTGTGTGTGTGTGTGTGTGTGTGTGTGTGTGTGTGTGTGTGTGTAGGCCCTATCCCAGGGGGAACCAGGGACCAAGGGAGGGAATTTTGTACCAGCTATCATTTGATGAGACATGGCCAGTAACCAGGAAGGGGGAGGGCATTTTCCCTCAGCCAGAAGCTGGGTGAGGTATGTCTGTGTGTGAGGGGGGGCTGGAGGAGGTTCCTAGGGACCCAGCCTGAGGCCCCAGTGAGCCCAGAGTACGGGGCTCAGTGCATAAGACCTATTGTGAAGACTGTCTGTTGAATGACTGTCATTGGTAGTTAAGTGGTGAAGCAGCATGTGTGTGTGTTAAGAATCTGTAATCTCTTGAGAATGCTCCATGTTCAATACAAAAATCATGTTTTACCCCAATACCAAATTTGTATTTGATGTAACCAGTAATTTATCTACAAAGCCTACAAGAAAAGATAAGTAACGTGACCTCAGTAGTTGACCATGCGTGTATGTGTGCATGCGTGTGTGTGTGTGTGTGTGTGTGTGTGTGAATGGTGGGTGAGAACAGACCCCAGGCCCCTGTCTCAGCTAGGGATGGAGGGAGAGGATTTTCCCCCGCCAGAAGCAGTGTCATATTTTGGCCCTAGGGCAACAAACAGACAGACAGACAGGGAGGGAAGGAGGGAGTTCAGGCTGCAAGTAGATTCTTCTAGTATTCTATTGTTTTAATTTTTACTGAATAATTACTATATGTGTAGCATGTTTTATTTCATAGACAGATTGATGTGAGTAGTGTATAGGCTTACCGCCCTTCAATGCGAATGTGACAGGTGGGCAGGACTTCCGGGACTACCCTTAGCCCCACCCCCTGATCCTGGTCACGTGGTGGATGATGTCACCAGCCCTGCCCCCTGACCCCAGTCACATGGTGTGTGACATCAGTAACTCCACCCCCCACCCCAGCCACGTGGTGTGTGACATCAGCAACTCCACCCCCACCCCCCTGTCACGTGGTGTGTGACACCAATACCACATGGTCTATGACATCAGAAGGACAGCCCATGCAGACCCCAAAGCCCAACCCCTCATGCTGCAAGAACCGCCCTAGATCACATGGTACAGTTATGGCCTGTCAGGTCCCAGGCTGCTCTAGCCCCCGCCAGAGCACAGTCATGGCCTATGGGGTGGCAGGGTGGTGGTGTGACCCTTCTAACAACCCACCCCACCACCCCCAACCAATTGGCGGGGGTTTCAGAGTCCTCAGACCTCCCAAGAATGATGCTGAACCAATTGGAATGTGTACGGGGGTGGGATTTAGGCTGCAAGCCCCACCAGGTCTATCTGCTTTCCCAAACGACCCCTCTGTTTATCTGAGACTGTGCTAAGGCAAGCAAGGGCGGATATGGATTCTTTCACAACGTCTGTAGGCCCACTCACTACAACTCCAAGACGGCCTTATAGAAAGCGTTACCGTAGAAATAGTTTTGAGGAGGAGACCCGGCTCCTTGCCCAAAGACTCTTTGAGATGCCTGACCCTGTTTGGGAAGACCCAATGAACAGGCAAATGGAGGAGGCCCAGGCCCTCGAAGCAGACGTTGAGAATTTGGAAGATGGTAACTTTGTGCCAAAGCCTGCGTGCGAAGTAGAGGTCATCGCAGAGGAGAGACCGGTAAGAGACTTGGAGCATGGTTGTGGAGGCACTTGGGTTTTGAGGGTAGTGGTGTGGGTTCACTTCATGGCACGTGTGTGTTTGGAAGTAGCTAAAGACTGATTAAACAGCAGTTAACTAACTTAGTCCTTTATTTGAATTCCTCTGCAGCTAGATGAAGCCTTTTTAATGACACCAGAAAACCTACTCACCAGTACACAAGAAGGAAGTGTATGCTTCTGCAGAGAACAAAGACTGGGTAAGGCTGAAGAGTTCAGAAGACAGCTAGGCATTGAATCAACAGATCCAGTTTCAAGTCGTGAACGTAAAGTTTTCATGAAATCTCTTGTTCGCGTTTCCTTTTATGGTATAATGAGATACTGCTTGATGAAGAGACTTTTTGACCTATGCTGGGGGTGCACATTTGACCTAGGGGGTCAGGAAGCCCACGAATGTATTACTTGGTTAGATGAAGACATAAATCAAATAATTCAGGAACTTTGCCAGGAAATATGTCTTGATAGCATTTTCAATGCTGTTATAACCATTGGGTTTGCCAGGAACATTCTCAGAATTACTGAGAAACATTTAATTCAGGTTAGAGAGCTTCTAAACACTGTGTATTCTGCAGAAGATCTTAATGCTGCCCTTCATGATTTGATCACTGAGGAAGATAAAACACTCATACCCCATACTGAACGCTTAATTAGTACTAGAGATTATAAAACCCTGCTTAAGAGAAGGGATTAGCAAAAATAGTTTAAAATGGGTGGGGTTTATATCTTTTGCTGATCTTGGTGGGAGACTGGGGAATGTGAGGTTGTAAAGCACATCAACAGTTTTCTACACTTAATGTATTTTAGCATTTGCTTTAGTGTCTTGGTTCTCTAATCACATACATATAGGGTTTTTTGTACAGATAAAACTGAGACTTAATGGTCACTAGAAATGATAAAAACCCTTCTTAGGAGGAGGGGTAACAAAATAAGCTAGTAAAATATTATAAAAGTTTTTAATGGAAATAAAGACTGAATTTAAAAATATATATTCTCACAGCTTTTGTATGGTATGGGGGGGTGTTATAAAGATAAACTAGACCACACAAAAAAAGATGACCATTGTGTTCAGAGCTCTTCCTGTTTTAAAACTAAAGGAGTTATCTTTTACCAAAAGGCCTGCTGTAAAGATAAGACTGACAAGGCATAATGGTCACAGGAAATGATGAAAACCACTTCTTAGAAGAAGGTTTAACAAAATAAATCAGTAAATATTATACATTTTTTTGATGGAAATAAAGACTGAATTTAAAAATATATATTCTCACAGATTGTGTATGGTATGGGGGTGGCGGGCGTGTATCATAAAGATAGCCAGTTCAAAAAAAAAAAAAAGCTGACCAGTGTGTCCAGATCTCCACATGTTTTAAGACTAAAGGGGTGGAGTTGTCTTTTAGGGGTGACTATTTTAATACAGTTATACTTTACTTTATACATACACTATTTTCCTTAATCTATTATTACATTTTGAATACAGAGGACTTGCTTATTGTATCATTTCATTTATATTACAGAGAGCTTATCAGGTGGGGAAGCCCCATGCAATTTTACCACAGCAAGGTCAAAATTATTTTAAAATGGTGGGTTATTTGTGGCTGTGTTACTATAATCACACTAAGTTATAACAACTGTCTGTAACTGTTTGTTTTCAAACAGAACCTCTTTTTCTAAAATAGACAAGCAGAACAAGCACATACAGTCATGTTTTTGTCCAGTAGTAAAAGGTATTTTTTCTGAAATCAGCTTCTGAAACTTTATGTGTTTCTTGTGGGAGGAGAAGTTGTGTGTAGGGGTTAAGCAAATTTTAAATTTGTAGTGTGTGAGGAAAGTGAATTCTCAATGCTGAGATGTAAATTTTGTATTTCCTAAGTGATCACACGCACCACTCCTGAAGAAGAGGGGGGTTCCTGGGCAGAGACCTCTAAAAGCACAAGCAAAAACCCCCAGAAATGCTCAGCCTGCAGATCATAACACCCAAGGATCAGAAGACCACCAGGACAGAACAGAAGGGTCTGATTCCTCAGAGGAAAACAAGCCACATACCTCTGAGAAAACCATATGTAAAAAGACAAGGATTCACACCCCCAAAACAGGTGATCTGGACCCCGTGAATAAGAAACCCAGGACTGATTGCTCACACAATTTACAAAAAGAGGAGAGTGTTTCTCCTTTTTTGAAAGACCATGATTATTGTGAAAAAAAGAGGGGTGATCCTGGCAGACGTATACATCTCAAGAAGAGTGTGCAGAGCACTTTGGAAGATCATGATTACTACCAGAGCAAAAGGGTAAATTTTACTCAGAGAGGAGGTAGTCTGTGTAATTCGGACACCAGTCATGACCTGTATCATAAGAGGGGGAGTCATGGTAAACGTCGGGGTAAGAATGGGTGGCGAACCAGCAAGTGGTTCGCAGGGCGAAAAGTAAGGGCCTGGTTAAAGAGGAGCATGGGGAAGGCTAAACACCGGTTGAGAAAAAAAAAAAAGAGATCCCCTAGGGATCTCTCAAACACTTCTCCTTCCAGTCCTGACCCTTCACCAGGACCCCTGGAGCCAGAGACAGGGAGTGAAGAGTATGATTTAGGAAGCCTCTTAGAGGGTCCCTCAAATGTACCCCAGTCTCCCAGACCTGACCTTTCACCAAGACCCACAGAGCCAGAGAGGGAGACGGTGACTGTGATTTAGGAAGCCC